GTCAGGATTCGGTTTGTCAGGCTAATTGTCAGGAAATAAAATAATTTGTCAGGAATTAACTTGTCAGGATTTGGTGCAAGGCTGTGACAATGTGACATGGTTCAGGTTGTCAGGAATTTTTATCCGAGCCTTTATATTTTACATAGAAGTGTAATTTAGATCGTTCCTGACACGTTCCAGATTATTCCGTGTCAGGAAATAGGTAAGAGTAAGGTCTTACTCAGTTGCCTGTTAAGAGCTATCTATGGTGCCTTAGCGCTTTCGGCCTTTTATAACCTTGGGAGGAGCCGATTAGCCAATCGGAAGCCTGCATTTTTCCTGACAGGTACTACGTTTTCCTGACAAGTAGAATTTTCCTGACAAGCAAACTTTAAAGTTACAATTAAAATGAAATCAATTATGTTATGCCATTTAGGGCTTCCTAAGACTTTTTAGAATGTACAATAGTTATTTTATATGATAATTACCTTGCGTAAAAGTACCTAATTAATTATTAATTAATGCTAATTAAATTAGTGTTTTAGACTTAGAGGTTATCCGAGGTCAGCGTAAAACCAGAGTGCACGAATCCTTACACAAACAAAAGATAGTGCACATCTTAGTTACAAAGAAGCAACGTTACTTTAGACTTAAGTATTATTTACAATGTACCATGTGGAGGAACCTTACTAATCATAACAATAAAATGTCATACAAATATTAATGAAAACAATAATCCCCCCATTTACAAATATCAACAACAGATCCATCCACATACAACGACAACAAAAAAATGGCTGCCGCCATGAACAGTTCTAACTTGACGTTACGTTATTATAACATCAATGCATAACAGGACTTAACACATCTACTATAATCCGGGATCTACCCATCCGTAAAAGGATGCGGCAAAAGCGAGTCTAAATTTTTAAACAATGCAACAATCACATGCATTCGACCTGTCAGTAGCCTAACCTAACCATCGTTAGTAAACAATAATAACTTATAAACAAATAGCTATTGGCCCAAGCTACATTAGTGTATTTCATGCACAGCAAAATTCTGAAACCATTCTGTTCCAAGAATAAATTAATACGATTTATGCATGACTTCGTATTTATAACATCTCCCCCCCCCCCCCACCCTCCTCCTTCCCCCCAATATGACAATATGGATAACCACACCCCCTCCCCCCAATACATGACAGTATTGTTCAGGGGATTCGACAAAAACAAGCTGTCTTGGTGAAGATTTTTGTTTTCGAAACAACAGCATGAGAAGAAGTGCAGTCAATTAGATAAGTAGATAAGACAACAATGATATAGATGTTTTAATTAAATATTGAACTGTAACATTAGTTAACATACACAGAATAAAAACATTTGATGTTTTATAACATAATATCACAACAATCTTACAATCAAATATAAACTAGACTAGAAAAAAATTTAAACAGATATGTTCATCTCAACAAAACATTTCTTCTTTACCAGCATATTTTAACTGATCCAGACAAAACAAACTTCAAGTCTCCAATTTCTTGTCTATGGTGTCCAATTGTAAAAGATATGCATCGCTAATTAAAAGAAGCTGGCATCTCCTTTGATGTTGCAGTACTGGCATTGTAGGGATAAAACATCAATGTCTAATTATCACATTTGATGTGACTTAAACAATAAACATTATAATATACATATACACTGTCAAAATATCACATAACAATCTAATAACATCAAATATATATTTCAAAAGATTCAAAAGATCAATTAAAGCTCACACAACATCCTTCAATTTTAAATTTACGTGTAAGCTTTAATAACTGAATATTTCAAGACATAAACAATTTAAATACTTATAGAATGGAATAAAATAGACAATTTGCCTTATTTAGTTATTAATTTAATAGTCTGATAACTTTGAATGATATTATAATATGTATTTTTTAAATTAAACGTGTCAATTAAAGCTTTTCACTGGATAATTCGAGACCAAATTAAAACAGTCACTTTCGTAAGTAATAACTATATATTTTATTGACTAATGGAGTTTTGTTTAATTCTGTATAAGTGCACGTAATTCGTTAACAGTGGTCCTTCAAACACAAACAATGATAAATGATCAAACTGAAAATGTGATATTTGGGATATTTTATATGGGATGTTATTCGCGTCAATAACATCTTCTTCTCAATTTTCACCAATATCTTAAAAATATTGATGTTTCAGCCAGAGTATTTTTTTTTTAATATTGAAAAATTAATTTGATTTTTGGCAAGTCATGGTTGTCAGTGCTGACATTTCTCAAGATTCCAATCTCTTCAAATTGGATGCATAAATAATTCTCGTCTAAAATGATTAGTTTCTTGATTCATTTGGGTAACTCATTACCGATAGACATCTCTAAAATATCCTCTATTAACTTAGTTTATAGGCAATCTGTCGGTAGAAAGATGACTCAGTCGTATCATCCAAGTGAGTTTAATTTTCAAATTTATTATCAGATGTCACAAGTTTAATAACAATTTACCATTCAATACCAAAAAATCATTAATATTAAGTATTATAATATTGGATGTCAATAGGGTTGGAATACATCATTGTTCTTGATTGTACGACCTACATTTCAGATTGTTAGGATATTTTATAAGGGTTACTTTTATGATACAACTAAACTAATTGAAGTGTTAGAATTAGTACCACAGGGGTTCAAGTAGAACCTTATAGAAGTAATTAACCTAGAACAATTATTATTTGACATGACGTTTCAGAGAATCCATGTGGACTAATATGACGCATATTAATCTTCGTATTCACCAACCTGGTAAATCTTAAATGTTCGATGTCTATTCACCAAAAAATACCGCCTAAACTGACTATTTTGCAAGTCTGAACTAAGAACACGGTAGTGATATAATTTCTTGGGCAGATATTTTTAGTCTCCCCCAGAAGTCTGAATTGTTTTCAAGACAAATGACATGAGTTCTCTACAATACCAGACAGTTCATGACTAAATATCTATGGAATAATCTTTTTCAGATCAGCCTAATTGCATATTTGATTTTGTATTTGTAATAACGTAAGTAGAGTCTCTGTGGTATTACCGAGATTGTTTTACGAGAATTGTTAAAGATAATAAGAGACTAGAGGTTTGAGAAATAAATTATAACAGACACTAGTATTATAGATTACCTATTTAAACAGACAGGGTAATGAGAGTTGAGTATCGCCATAAAATTATCAGGCTATATTCAGTCGCTATCTTGAAAACAAAGTAATAAATATAATATTATGCAAATAATGGAACCACTGTAATACCTTCCACAACGTTTACCCTACATACATAAGAATACTGAAACATTCTCATTAACGGGCAGAACAAAAAGGACTTTTTGGAACCTCACATGTTGCCCATATTATAGTGCCGTAATATATAGGCGACCTCTTACTTATTAGTATTGTCAGCTTCCAAATGTCACCAGTACAATATTTTGTAGTATACTAATCCCGGCATTCACCAAACAATCTATCACATCATAATTATATATCACATTTATCATTGATACAACATTCAGATATTCAAATTGTAGAGAAAATTAACAAAAACTAACTACTGAATGCAGAACACAATGCACCATCAATATGCTCGATTTTTATGAGCTCGTGTATAAGAAATTAAGTCTCGACCATTAAATGTCCAAGATAACTAAGTTGTAAATCTGACCACTGATTCCTGTTATCTGAAACATTGTAACGTTAAGAATTTGATTGTCACGAATTGTCATAAAATAATTGGACTTATTTAATAAAAGCAATTCAAAAGATTTAATTAGATATTTGGCACAAAAAGCAGTTCTCGTTTCAGCATGAGCAAACAACAATTGAAGAATAACAATTCACACCAAAATACCATAACATACATGGACGCCATATAGGTCGGATTACACGTTCTTTTACAGTCTGTCGTTGCTTCAAAATTAGATGTCATCATTTAATTTCCTACTAAATGGTTGATTATACGTATTTATCACCCCTGACGTGGACTGGAATTCAGTTTCACAAGAATTCCCTGCCATAAATATGGAATGTAAAAGGCGAACGATTGAACATCAGTCGATACAATAACGCTCATTTTTGATTGCGCAATCTGAGACAGGAATGATTTAAACTGAGATCAAAGAATACATTAATCTTGGAATTTATAATAGTTACAGCATGTTGTTGATAAATAAATCGGCAGTACATGCTAAATGAATTGAATTTATGAATAACAATGTGGAATGATATCAAAACGTCTTAATTAAAAACTAATCAACGTCCATGTTTACTTCAGAAACCATTTCATAACTTAATGACTGGACTGTGAAAAAAAATATTAGTTCTTGTAAAGAATTATGCAGAAAGTACACTCAAACATGTAAAATACGACCACCGTGGTAACAAATATCTCTTTCTGCATCGATTGACGTACGGCAAAAGACATATATATTTATATAAATTTAGTGGTTGTAATGGCAATCTGTTTCAATTCCCCGTGTTTTATGAATAGAGTACTAAACAAGATGATCTGATCACGGTCAAATATTCTTAGAGAATAAACCACGGTTAAATGATATATGATATTCATAAGATTAATATCTGGGATATATTGATTTCTCGCCTTTTCTCTTAAGATATCTTTCTTTACCATTCTCAAAGATTCCATGCAGTCAGCAGAGTTAAACAAAGAATGACGACTTTCATCTTGAGATTTCTAACATATTCAGCAAAAAACTTCCTTAGCTAATCTATCTTGATTAGATGTCACTTCCGTTTCATTATTACATTCAGTTTTAACTGGGTCAGAGTATTAAGAAAGTATCGAACGCTTCCCAGTGACATTCATTATAATGAATATGTCATTAATGAAACGAACTCCACCACATGCTGTCAATTTTTTGATTAATTCTGATATTGAGCAGATAAAAAGCTAGAGAGAAGCTATAAGCGATATCACAATATGGCGCTACAAGTATCTGGTTTAAACTAATAACCTTTTCTTTTGATCATAGAATAATGTGTCAGTTGAAGATCGGACTTGCGTTTATCACCACGTTCTAGAGTTCCGGTTACACAATACCCCATCTGGAAATCTCCAGGGTCTATATTCGTCGTTAGAAACATCCTAAAATCCGGGGACGAAGAATCCTTAAAGCGTCCAGTTATAATCATTGTACCGTTACCTTTATCTATCATTTTACCCTTGGTGCTTGTCTTTTTAGGTCCGGTAACCTCCACAATTTTACATTTTGAGCGACTCCACCAATATGTTTTGAGTAACCAGTATGTGATGAGAGCTGGTTGAGCCCAACCTTCATAAGGAAACATTAAAACTTTAGTTGGACAACCTTCATAACTGAACACCTTCCTACAACACTTGCCACGAGTTTCATAATAAAATAACTGCACCATTTTGATTTATTCTGTTTTTAATGATGTTTTCTTATATTACATTCCTCTGAAATAGAGAAAAGATCATGGTTATTACATTTAGCCACTCCCAGATTTCGGGTTAAGGAACTACTCAAAATTGATACATTATTCTCAATCTTACATGCATTGGGACCAGTCTTTACAAAATTAAATTTGGTTTTAATTTTTTTTTTGGCCCATCGAACCTTAGTCTCAGAAACGGGAATTCTGAAGATTATTTACATATATTCAACACTCAAATCAATCCTCCAAAATGGCGCACCTGTACCTTAAATTTATTACTAGGCATATTGGTCATGATTTCACATGTAAGAATCCATGATCGAATAATACACAAAAACATTTACAATTTATTGCAATAAAAACAGCTCATGAATAACGGCTGAAGTTTAGATGATTTATCGGCTGGTATAGTGAGCGTCTACATTTATATAACAAAAAAGGACACATCATGAATAGTATTATATGCAGATTCTATTAAACTATTTTTAAGTACAAGTCATGTTTTCATAATTCTATAATATTTGTTCATCAATATCATAACTACCTTTACAATAACTACAGTACCAAATGTGTCAAATAAGAAATAAATTAATAGGACAAATCCTGTGGGTAATATTGGATCGATGATTTCACATGTATTATACACCATTATATCTTTAATACGCTAGTTATTGAGTTCTTGGAAACTTTCTGTCTAAATATTCGATTATAAATCATACAGTTGACTTGGTGCTGTATGATAACAATTTCTAGAATAGATTTTCATTAGAAACTCGTTAGGGAAATCTGATATCTCTTTATACAACATATAACATATATAATAAGTCTTAGATTGACATAACATTAGACATGACACAATCTTCAGTTCATGAAAATTGATCATTTTCTTAGTATCTTAGTTCATAGGTAGTTGCCGAGAATTTTAATAAGACGAAGATTATTTCCAGTGCCTTTTTATTGCATAACGTTTTTCTTTTCAATTATGTTCTTATGACCTGACGATGGGACTAAATCTGATGATATACTTTCAAACTCTACCACTGTTATTGCATACTTGTTCTTATCAATATGTAATGAACTACAAGCAATCAACGAGTTGATTTAAAAATTCATATTATTTCCATTGTACATATTGCTGCAAGATTCCAATGCAATCAATATATATCGTTTACTTTTGAATTTCTTGACAAGTTATTGAGGGGGTGAAATGTACAGAAGCTTTTATCAATGTTTATATAGAGAATGTATCAGGAAGCTAAGAACTAAAATAATAAATCATATTATAGATTTGGTTTATCCTTTGGTCTATTTTTGTTATAGGGTACATGGTTCTCGCTGGCAAAATGAATTACATACAGATTCCATAATATCTAACATTCTCTCAACTACTGTAAGCTTATTAATTAGTAATTAGACTTAAAGTGCCAATAGACAAGGTACGGTGTCCGGTGCAGTATATGGTGTGGGATTATCAATACAGTAGAAAATAGAAGAAACAAATCGTATCCTCACCGTGCACCCGTACCTCGTGTGTTGACTAATTCTATTTTCGTTTGTATCGATTATTCCACACCGTACATCGCACCGGACACCGTACCTCGTCTGTTTGCGACTTAAATCAAATTTATTGTCCTGAAAACTTATTCTAAGACAAAAACACAACAAGTGTCAAGTGTTTCAAAATCAAATAGTGTGTACAACTGAAAAGAAACCATGACTGAAGACCCACTGGTAAAAATCTCAAACCAATCAAACTTGGACCAAGGACAATAAATTATTATAAAGTAGACTTTGTCATTAGTTTAATGTACGTTCAAACCTGCTAATGCAACTTGCTTTAGGCTTCACCGATCCTCGAAAAAGGCAATAAAAGATAGAAATTGGATAGAGAAAAACAGCAAATCGCATAAAGCAGTCAAATGGAAGGAAAATGAAATGAAACGGAATTCACTGGAGGGCTGTAAACTTTAAATTACTGTTTTATATTGCCAGTATTAGAAGAAAAACGAGTTGAATTTAAAAATTATCAAATTTCTTGCCTACTGAAAGTTAATAAATCTACCGAGATTTCCATTCTTTCCATGTTTTTTATCCTTTTCAGATTTTTTTTCAATAAACACAAATCAAATCTCTCAAGAAGCTGATTTTCTTTGGGTTCTATAATCCTTGAGAATTCAGCTGATTAAATTTGTCTGCTATTTGAAGGACATCGAAAAGGTGCACGCATTGAAAAGGTTATCCTAAAGGAGATGAGACAATATGGGCGTAAAGGTTGAACCATATCGAAATAAGAGTCTAGAATTGCGGTCAATTGTGAGGAAAATGAGAAAAAAAGCCTCCATATGACCATATTGCGTTTTAACGTTTTGCAGAGTCTTTGCCACGCGTGTACTGCGCTTAAGGAGATGTTACAAGGCTTGTCTGACGAAATTCTCGATCCCATGGCGTTCTCAATTTGGGGATCTGTATCAGCCACCTCCAATGTTTTAAGGATTTTTTCAGTACTAGAATGTTTGTTTTCTCGACTTCAGTCCAGTTATCATTCATTGTGCTTTGTCAGTGGCATTTTGTCTGAAATCTCCTATAAATTAATCATTGGCCTCCTTATTCTAACTCCTGTCTTAGTTAATATTCAAATATTCATTGAAATGTAGACTATTTCTTCTATTACATCTATCTATCTAACTATTTATTCAAAATCTTTATTCCGTCTTTCCTTTTGTTAAGGCAACAATATAGAGAGGCCCCAGCTTGCCTGAAACATTGTTATTCTTTAAAACATTTGTTCGACTTCTGTGTATTGATCAATCCAACAATGAAAACAGTAATTCAACCACATCATGAATATGAGAATAAAATGACATTCTGTTTTTACCTAATCAAAATGGATTTCTCTATAAGAATACATTCTACAATTTCTTAAAGTTAGAGTGTATCATATTTATTAACGATATCTATTACTAAGAGAAAGACAGAAATTATTCACAATGGTTTCTGAACAGTTATCAAGAAACCGAATGAAGAGTATCCCTGAAAAAATTGTCAACAGTTACCAACCAAATTTGGTTTTCTGAACAGTTACCAACACTAAGTGAAATTTAGTTTTCTGAACAGTTACCAACATTCAGTGAAATTTAGTTTTCTGAACAGTTACCAACACTGAGAGAAATTTGGATTTCTGAACAGTTACCAACACTGAGTGAAATTTGGTTTTCTGAACAGTTACCAACATTCAGTGAAATTTAGTTTTCTGAACAGTTACCAACATTCAATGAAATTTAGTTTTCTGAACAGTTACCAACACTAAGTGAAATTTAGTTTTCTGAACAGTTACGAACATTCAGTGAAATTTAGTTTTCTGAACAGTTACCAACACTGAGTAAAATTTAGTTTTCTGAACAGTTACCAACACTCAGTGAAATTTGATTAGTTTTCAAGATAACTCTCAACAACGTCAATGCTTTTTGAACAGTCATCAAAAACCAAATTGAAGATGTATTTCTGATCTCCGATCGTATAAAGGTAAAATTTTGGATAAATGTCCATTGAAAAAAGTTTGGATTTATTCAGATTTCAAATGAAGACAGAATTTCGGAGAGTTATCAACAACTCAAATGAAGGCGGAATTCTGGCTATGTGGTGGTGGTTTCTGGACATCACTTACTATAAACAAGTTTGGTTTCTCAGTTATCATCAACCCAATGAAGGCTGGTTTTTACGATAAATAGGAACCTTATCCCCCAATACTGTATTACAGAAAAGTATGTGTTTATCACCTGCTTGCATGTCTCGAAACTAGTTGGTGAGATACCAACCGTATATCTATAATTAATTAATCAAAATTCTATAATTAAAGATGTCTATTACAAGTCACAGCCAATATACATATATTCAATTAATTAGATTTACGTCAAGTTCGAGTGTGATGTCTATATTCATGTCCTGTCTACTTTATATTCTATGTATGCAAGCACGAGATGTCAGATTTGCCAGCTATGTCTATTTATTTCAATCTGATGCATTGCATAATTCTCAATTTGCATGAAAATTAGAAAGGACAGCAGTGTTATTCGACAAGCAGAAGCCTTAGCCAGGTTCCATAACATAGTCCAAACATATAGAAAGTGTATAACATCATATAGAAAGTGTATAACATAGTCCAAACATATAGAAAGTGTATAACATCATATAGAAAGTGTATACTATAGTCCAAACATACAGAAAGTGTATAACATAGTCCAAACATATAGAAAGTTTATAACATAGCACAAACATAAAGAAAATGTATAAGATAGTCAAATCCTATAGAATGTGTATAGAAAGTGTCTAACATAGTCCAAACACATAGAAAGTGTATAATATAGTCCAAGCATATAAAAAGTGTATAACATCATATAGAAAGTGTATAACATAGTCCAAACATATAGAATGAGTATAGCACAGTCCAAACATATAGAAAGTGTATAACATCATATAGAAAGTGTATAACATAGTTCAAACATATAGAACGTGTATAACATCATATAGAAAGTGTATAACATCATATAGAAAGTGTATAATATAGTACAAAAATGTAGAAAGTGTATAACATAGTTCAAACATATAGAATGTGTATAGCATAGTCCAAACATATAGAAAGTGTATAACATAGTTCAAACATATAGAAAGTGTATAACATAGACCAATCATATAAAAATAACATCATATAGAAAGTGTATGACATAGTCCAAACAAATAGAAAGTGTATGACATAGTCAAAACATATAGAAAGTGTATAACGTAGTTCCAACATGTATCATGTGTATATGTGTATAACATCATATAGAGAGTGTAAAACATCATATAGAAAATGTATAACATAGTTCAAACATATAGAAAAGGTATAACATAGTACATGTAAGTGTACCTTGAGAAACTGGGGTTTGATATATAACTGTATTACAAAATTATACGTGCTGACAAAGTAATACGCCACA